CCCTAAACCCTATATTATAAACCGAGAACCCAAACTCCCACAGCACAAAAAGTCTCCTCCTTTAAACCCTAATATACGCTAAACTTTAGGGTCATTAGGGTTCAGGGAGTTTAAGCTCCTAGGTTCTCTAGCACCTTAAGCCCTGGACCCCAGACCCCCAAACGCTAAACCCCATCGAAGTTTTCCGCTTTACTCGCCTGCTCGATTGGGCTTTGCTAGAGGCTGACGGCTGCGCATGGCAAAAGAGGCCCGTAAACAAAAAAAACTAATCCCCAACACCCGAAAACCCCAAAACCTAAGCCCCAACACCCGAAAGCTCTAGAAGGTAGCTGGTCATCTGGCGATCTGCCCACGGAGAAGTCGGCACCGGCCCTAAGGAGTTGGTTATACTGGAGGTTTTAGGGTTTAGGGTTAAGTTTGGGGGGTAGCTTCAGGCTTAGGGTTTAGGGTTTCTGGTTTAGTTTAGGGTTTAGGTTTAGGTTTGCAAGGTTTCAGTTTCGGGTTTGGAGTTAGTTTAGGGTTCAGGATTTAGGGTTTCGTTTCGAGTTTAGGGTTTAAGTTCAGGGTTTAGTGTTAAGTTTAGGGTTTGGGATCAACTGCGAAAAAGACTTTTGAAGCGGAGAAAGATGTATGCTTGACTTGCTTCGGGGGGGCTTCCATTGATGATATTTCGTGCGGGAGGGCGGCAAGGAGCTCTGGGTTTAAGGGTGGAGAACCCAGACCCCCCAACTTTTTCGTTTTTGGCATCTCCGGTAGGAGTGACTCGAGCCATGTTTGTATACCTGACCCTAAAGGTGCGTCTTGCTAGCTGCCTTTCACTTCAATAGGCTTAATTACGATCGTGGAGGAGTCGTTAAAGCCACCGACAGCACTCCAGGGCGTCGGTGCGCAGAGTGCGGAGGGGTTCAGAGGAGATCGCCCAGAAGATGGCCCTCTTCCTAAAACAGGAGAACCCGTTGCAATAGAGGGCAGGAGCCGACTCAGGCACCCCATCCTTATGCAAGACCATAAGCCCTAAACCCTAATAGAGCCCTGATAGGACCCGTGTAGAACCCTTGTAGGAGACGAGCTTTAAACTCTATCACTCATGTCACCAACAACTCCCCAACAGAGCCCAATACCCCTTAATTAAGGAATATACTTTAAATCATATTATTAAGGCCCCTATAGTTTAAGCTATATTCCTTAATTCGGGGGGTATTGGGTTCTCTGGGTCCTTCTTATAAGCTTTGAGGAGTCCCCACACAACAAGGTCCTAAGGTTCTAGCTAGGTCCCAGACGAAACCCTTAAAGCTGAGAGCAACGCTGGAAGGATTTTTTCTCGAGTGCGAGCAGAACACCGACTCAACAACCCTATACCCTAAACCCAAAACTGGCCTGAACCCATGATGTTAAGCTCAGCATACCCCCATAGGCCCGTAAGTAGTTCCTTTTTCGGATTACCTTTTAGCATTCCAATCTAAACCATAAAGAGAAACTACATAGGGGCCTATGGGTAAACACCTCAACCCTAAACCCCTCAACTCTGAAGCCTAATACCCTAAACCCTTACTAAACCCTAAACCCTAATCCCTAACCCTAAACCCTAAGCCCTTACTAAACCCTAAACCCTAAACCCTTACTAGACCCTAAAACCCTAAAACCCTAAACCCTAAATTCCTCAACCCTAAACACCTAAACACCTCAAACCCTGATCCTGAGGTTGTGCCGCCTGCAGTCGCTTCGAGCCTCGGCTTAGGCCCTTGGCCGAAGCTCCGACTTTTCGGCGATCTATAGAGGGGTTTGGGGGTTCAGGGTTTAGGGTTTAGGGGTTCAGGGTTTAGGGTTTAGGTTTGGGGGTGTAGAGTTTAAGGGGGTTTGGGGTTCAGGGTTTAGGGCTTTAGGTTTGGGGGTGTAGGGTTTAGAGGGTTCGGGGTTCCCTTTGGGGGCCCTTAAGGGTTCCTTTAAGGATTCTGTACTAAGGCATTGGCGCCTGTATCAGGGTTCCCTTCGGATTTTCCTCAAGGGATCGATAGGCCTATAGGACATAACCCCACGGGTCCAGCTACCTAATTATATCATATATTCCTGAAAATAGTAACCTACATCACTACTACCTGATTATTGCGTCCTTTGGACTCTTAAGGTAAGGGATCTGACCATGAACACTTAGAAGCCCTAAAGCCACAAATCCCAAATCCTAGATTCCTCAAAACTTCTCCTCCATAAGATTTCTTCAGTACTTCTTCCCGAATAATCGTTTCCCCAAGGGTCCATGTACTCAAATAGTATAATCTTTGGCCCCAAATACTTATAAAGGGACTGCTTCAAGGCCAAGCCATATTTTGGGTACATGAACCCTTATACCCTAAACCTTTATGGTACCCTTAAGCCTTAAAGGATGTCATCACACAACCCGAAGCCCTTATGGTCACTGAGGGTCTTGTTTGAGCGGGGCATTTAAGCCCAAAGCCCTTCACGACACCCTGAGTCCCTAAACCCTAAACCGTGTGGGGTTCAGGGAACGGTTCAGGGTTTGCAGACACGTGTGCAGCGTAAGAAATGCAAGCAGCCAGCACAGGTGTCCGAGGACGAGTCACTCGGACCGTGGGCGCCATAAGGCGGATGTGCTGCTCGCTTCCACAGGAAGTGGCATTTCCCGGGCAGCTCTGTGAGAGTACTTAGCAGTCTTCGCTTCGGGGCAGAAGCGTTGCGACAGGAGGGACATGGGAAACTGCACTTGCATTGTTGCGCGTCAATATCCAGAGTTCATTGCCGTAATAGAAACTGCCGTAATGCACCAAGCTCCTTAATCCGAAATCAAGGTGATTGAAGCCCGTCCAGCCCAGTTTGACGCAAACCGCATTGAATTAAACCGGTCCATAATCTTTTTATCGACACTTCATCGACGATATGCGTGGCGGCACGGCTCTCAGCGAGTGAGTGAGTGAGCGAGCGAGTGAGTGAGTGAGTGGGTGAATGAGTGAGGCTTGGCAAAAGGACGGGCGCCCGCGTTGTCTCCACCCCGAGAAGGGCTTAAGGCGCAAACGGGGCGTCTACATGGCTCCGAGAGAAAATGCCATGGCCCTGCGCGTGGCAGAACAAGCAACCGGCATCACCTGAACCTCCATGGACCCCATGCCAGCAGGGGCAAGCTAGTAAGGGTTGGAAGCACGCTTGGCAAGACAGCCCACTTCACAGATCCAAAGCGGGTCCCGACATGATCCATCCTTCATGAAGGTACTAAGGAGGACAGTGTGGCACCGTCCCCATCAAGGAGGGGCTCTCAGCACACATTTATGTGACGGCAGGGGGAAGAGGCCGCGCTGCATCCAGATTGCATCGACTATATGTTCTAGGAGTGTTGAGCCAGGACACATCGCAAGATGAGTCACAAAGCTTCCGGTGTAAGGAAGCCTCCCGTGCTATATCTATCTATCTATCTATATATATATATATGCTGTGTTGTTCAACGGTTGGTTAAGATTGCGGATTCGCGGTGTCGGAAGGGTTTTTTCAGAAAGAAGTGGGCTTCTGAACGTTTAAAGTTTAGGTTGTGTTATCCATCGTCTGCGCCCAGCGGAAACAACTGACCGTCATTGTCATTAGCACCTGAACCAGAACGCGAGTGCGATTTTTGTTCGACTGAGGGCAGCTGAACACCAGCTGCGGCTTGCTGAGGGGACCTAGCTGCTCAAGAGCAAGTCTCGATGTTGAGTAGCATATTCGGAGCGTCCACGCTCCTTAGAAGATAGCGCTGAAACCCCAGAGTGCCCGAAACTTCTGGGCCTCTGGGCGTTTTCAGTTGGGCCGAAGCGATAGGGCAGTGATGCGGGTGATCCCCGATCGAGTTTCAAGTCGGCTGCCTGTTTCAGGGCCTGTCTGCTGGCGATTGCTGGCGCGGAGAGGGTTTTCTCCTTTCGCTGGAGTAGAGCGGTGCACGCTTCTCACCCAAAGCTGAGGTTGTGTTAAGAGTCAGTCCTTTACAGTTAGTTGGTGGCATTGTAACTCAATTGCGACATGTGCCCGACTTTTGGGAGGAGGCCAAGCACAAGGCGCCTAATGCGTCTGCGCCGTCCAAGGAGGTGGTCAGTCGCTACGTGTGCTCGGTGTTTACGGCTTCCATTCGGCTGAGGAGAAAACGGCAAGGCGCGGTCCCGCACCGTTGTGTGCGACCGAAGATGTCGGATGCGAAGGAGATCTATCAAAACTGACAACGTGCAATGGATGCTGGCATCAATGGCCACGCCCTGAAAGATTGCACGCGCCGACTGAGGACAGCCGACGACAAAGGTCATGTTCGATTGAGCTGGACAGACAACGCAAGCAACCAACGATGCATCAGGCACTTCCAGTTCGGGAAATGCTACTCCGTTGGCCTTGGGGAAAACTGGAGC